AACAATGTCTAAAAAATCTTCCATGCTTTTATGAAGAGAGCTGCATTGTTGTTATCCCTGATGTCCTGACCTGACTCTGGGAATTATATTTAGTTTACCATAATGGTTCATTCATTCATTCAGCTGAATGGCATTCTTTGCTTCCTGTCTCCAGCAGATCTATGTCTACTGGACAACAGCGATTAGAATTTCATGGTGAGAGAACTGATACCACGATACACTTTAAAAATATTTTTGTTCTTCTTATGTAATCAGGCATTTTAATAAAGGAAATAACTCTTATTTATTGCTGATTATACCACTAAACTCTTTTCCCAGTGGATGTTCCAATGGAAAAGAAATGATTTGCTGCTGAAAATGATTTGCTGCTTATTTTGTACATGTTCTTGAAGTAATCTGAGACATTATTGTTATACTGTTGTAATTTGACTTGAATGAGTCCAATAGTCATTATTATATTAACTTGCTATTCACAGGGAAGTAAAAGAAAACAGAAATAGGTGAAATAACTTGAGAAAACAAGACAATCTACATATATTTTACTTGTGTAGATTGCAAAGTAAACAATAATTTGTTTTTCTGAGCCCATTTCTCCTTCTACCTCCTGCCGTAATTCTTTGTCCCTCTTTTCCAGTCTTCTGAAGCACAATTGTTGATACTCCAATTTCTCTCATCCTATGAACTGCTCTTGTGAAAGTCCCCAACAACTTCTTTGTTTTTACATGTAAGTGCTGTTCTCAGTACTTAACTGACTCAGGCAATGGAAATGCCATCCTTCAACTTTCTCAGATCAAATCCTTGACACTATCTGTGATTTCTGTTTTTCTCTTGTATCCCACATAGTAGCATCCTTCAGTAAATATAATTGGATTTACCTGCAGAAACACATCCACAATTCTACCATTTTTCACCTGCTTCATGCATTTCTTGCTTCTAACTGTTTTCTCTGATTCTTCCCTTACTTACCTCTTTCTGTTCTTTTTACTTGTTCTCCTTGTCTGGAAAACTGACTCAACCATAGAGCTTCATTGTCCACTACTTCACTTCCCTCAAGTCTTTACTCAGATGTCACTGCAGTGAGGTTTTCTCTGGCTACCTTAATGAACATTAGAAGTAGAGACACTCCTTTTTCTCCTTCTCCTTTCTTGCCTTATATTTCTTCATTGTACTTACAATCATCTCACATATTATGTTTTGCTCATATGCCTATTTATTCTTTGACTGCCTCATTTCCTTTCCTCCAACTAGTATTTTTGAATGTTTTATTTCCCTGCTATATCCCCAGTTGCCAGGACAGTGCGTATTAAGTATCTGGCACATAAGAAGTGTTTAAATATTAATTTTTTGAAGAGAAATAAATTTTATTGTAATTAGGATAATTTTCATTGAGTTGGTAATGGTCTGAATAGGTTTGTTTTCTATAGACCTGGTTTACTGAGGGAGAATATCATGCTTTTAGATTCAACCACAATTTTAAAATAAAAATGACATATTAAAACAACAAAGTATTAATCTTAAAAGCACTCCTTCTTGCTTTATGTGATTTTAATTTACTTAGATTAAATAACACATTTCATTTCTAGATCTTTCTTTTCATTAATGTGAGAATTGTTTTGGAATGACATAGAACAGGCTGAGCTCTTGATCTTACAAATGCTTCTATAGATACCAGAGTCAAGTGGAGCAGTGATATCTTAGGGTGTGATAACTACTCACTTGTTAACTTATCTGTCCCTCATTTTTTCTATATTATTCTGTGTCTCTTTTGCTGAATATTGAATTATATTTTTTGAGGGCTAGTATCCCTGTCTTTGTGATTATCTCATTTAAGCTGAAAAGTATCATTGAATTTCTTGAGAAAGCTCTGTTGTTCTCTCTTAATATCTTTAAAATGGAAAGGAAATATTACCAAGAGAAGCCATTTTTGACAGTTTAAGTGACTGAGGACCTTAATGCTATGAAGTATACTATTAGATTAGCATGTAGGAGAATTCTGACTGAGATTGCGGCAAGCAGTGCCATCAGACAAATACCAAAGGACAAGGACTTCTTCCAAACCCACTTTTGGTAATTTTTTTTTTTTCTGGGACTAACACTTCCAGTGGGTCCCAATAGCTCTTCTACAGGAGTCAAAATTGTACATGAACATAGAAATCATGAATAGCTCCTCATAATATGTGGGTGATGTTTGTGTCAGTGAAGAAATATGTTAGTACATATATAGCCCTATTGAGTCTTGCTCTAAAGGATATGACAGTTTTTTAGGAAAACTGAAATAGACAATAGTACATTAACATAAATTTATGGCATAAGAATAGATTGTAAGAATATTTATAAAGGGTTTAGACAGTTTGATTTAGTGGAAAAAATATTTTTAGACTTACAAACTGTGACCCAACAATTGTTGAAACAAACATTTAGGATAATTGGTGCATAAATGAAAAGTCAGAAATTCTTTTAAATGTTGGTGTTTCCTCAGAAATCCATTCATTGAGTTCCTCTAACTTTATATAACCTCTTAAAGAAACACCATCCATACTTAGAATTTCTCCTGCTCCCAAATCCGTATTTCCAACTCTTTACTGACAGTCTGCATTTGGACATTCTCTAGCCTTCTCAAACTCAATTGAACAATGATAATAGCCACAATTTGTTGAGGGATTACCATTTTGCTAGGCAGTATACTAAATGCTTTATTTGCATTAGCTGACTAACCCTCAGAACAATTCTGAGTTGGTTCTTTTATTGCCTTAGTTTTATAGATAAAGAAACAGTCTTCAGGAGTCACTTAATATCCATGTGACTTACTCAAGGTCACGTGGATATTAAATGACATTTCTAAGTGCAAAGCCTATGTTCTTAACCACTGTGATTATTTTCAAAATATAATTCTTCAGGTGTTCTCTCAAATTGCTTCTTTTATTTATTTATTTTTAAATTTGTGTATATTGTTTAATGACACCACTATCCATTAAGCCAGAATCCTAAACATATTTATCCTCCTCATTCACTGTATCTGAATGGTCAGCAATTCACATCTATTTTTCCTCCTTTATCTCTTGGAGCCATTTCCTTTTATCCATCCTCAATACAGCTTCATAGTTCTGGCTCTTTTCTTATTTTATTAGTTTACTAACTAGCCTCCCTGCCACCAATCTTACCCCAACATTTTCCATGTTATAGCTTAAGTGATCTTTCTAACTGTTTAAGATCTTTAAAGATCTTCCCTATCACCTATAGGATAAACCCAATCTCCTGAGTATAGCAGATAGGGAATTTTGTAATCTGTTTCTTGCCCTCATGTTCATCTTTCTTTCCTGCCACTTCCTTTTATGTATCCAGTGTTTCAGTCATAGACAACTTCTTATAGTTCTTGAACATGCTATTCTTCCTTTCTGGAATACTTCTATTCTCCCCTGTAATCCATTTTATACCTTTATTACAGTAGCTATCATATGAACTATTAAATAAATATCATCTTTTTCCACTTCCAAGTACTGTCTTTGACACTGAATCAGAATTTATTGGAAATTTGTGAATTGTCATCTCTAAAGAAGAGAGAGTGGTAGGCTTGGAGAAAGTGATGTTGTGTCTTATTTGGCCAAAGAAAGACTTAAACCATCTGGCTCAGGAGATTACCACTGTAAGATTTCTCACTCTGACACAGTAGTTATCACCCCAATTATTTTGTGTCAAGAAATGGGATCCCATACACCTTCCTCAGTCTTTTCTGAATGAACTGAAGAAGCCTAAATAGGAGGCAGCATTTGCATGCAACATTGTTGCTAGAAATGCTTTATTTTTGGCTTGACAAGCTTCTTTTAAAACTGTCTGGCCATAGTACCAACTCTGAGTTTGGATCTGGTGCTCTTATTCTTCTTTGTGGTAATTAGAATTGGAGCAAACATTTTACTGGAAACCTTTACAAGTTAGAGATCAATTATAACATGATGCAAAAAGCAAGTGCTTTGGAGGCAGATAGCTTGGGTTGGGATTTCTGCTGCTTATAGCTGTGTGAAATTCACCAAGTTATTTAACTTCACTCAGCTTCAGTTTCTTCATATGTAAGTGCAGGTAAAATGCATACTTGTCAGGGTTGATATGAGGGGTAAATTAAATAATTATATAAAAGATTTGGCACATACCTCACATGTTATAAACATTAAATAAATGATAGGTTTCATTTTTAAACAGTGGATGGCACATTGTCCAAATAATCCTAATATAGTGCTACATATTGTCTTCTAAATAATTATAAATATTTAAGCCAGGTGTTTTTCTTTTAAGAAAAAAGCTGTAGTTACAATAATGGAAAGTGTTCATATAAAATTTGGAATAGGCGATACAAAGGTTTTTGTATCAGAAGCCCTTGTGAAAAACACAGAATCATTGTCCTCACCCCAGTTTACTAGGTTAGGATCTTTGGATATGGGACATAGGAATCAAAAATTTTCAGAAGCATCTGAGGTTATTCTCAAGTACCTCAAGGGTATTCTGGCAAACTCTTTTGTATGTTTTAAAGTTGATCTTGGATATGATGTTAATTGGGAAGTCTTTCCTAATATCTCCTTCCTCCACCCCAGTCTGCAACAGGTGTCCATTCTATTTCTGTGATATACCTGTCATGTTGTCCTTGGACATGTCTGATTGTTTGTGTCCCTTCCAGACTGTCAGATCCCTGGGGGCAGGGACTTTGCCTTTCCAGTGTCTTGCATAGTATTGAGCCCATAGGAAGTATTAGTAAATATCTATTAAATGAATAAACAAGTTTTTGTGCATCTTTCTCGATGTATGAGAGGATGTTTCTGAAAAGTATCATTTAATTCAAGCACTTATATGAAAATTAATTTTCTCACAGAAATAAAAGTAAATTTCAGTTATTTTGTTTTTACTATTTTATTAATATTGAATTAAGGTAATTTTTTATCTTAAGTTTTCTCTGTACATTTATTTAAGTGCCTTGCATTTCTTCATGTTATCATTGGTATTTTATATTTCAGGATGGATAATGCAGCAGACAATATGGCTTTAAGTTTCAGAAGCCTAAATCTAGTTGGACACAGGTTCTAAATAATAGCACTGTGAGAAAAGATGAAGAGCCAGGCTGCCCCTATCAAAAGATTCTCCAGAATAGAGGAGAGGAAGAATTGGAAGTAAGTAAGAAGCTTATCTGTCGATGTGTAACTTTAAGAAAGGGCCTCGTCTTTTTTCCACTAACTGAGCCCTGGTTTGGCATTGGGAAGACAGAGAAAATGACAGGTAATTCAGTTGGATTTACAGAATTTGAAAGTTGACACAACTTGTGTCCCATTCCCAATTAGAGGGATGGAAAATTTCCCCCATTCCTGATGCAGCCTGAAAGAAGTAGGATAGACATATTCATATAGTAATAAAGGATCAAATCTAAGAAGTTATTTGGATATTATGATTTTCTGATTAAGGACTTCCATTTCATAAATGCAGCATAATTCCATTGTTTTAAATGTGATGGAAATAATAAATATAAAAGAATATCATTCCCCACCTCCAGAATTGTTAAAAGGAGTCTATAATGAAACATGCTGAAATGTTTACAGTGACCATTTCTGGTTGGTGGAATTATGAATGACTGTCATTTTCATCTTTATACTGCTCTGAATTTAAAAAAAAATTCATAGCGAAAGGGCTTTTTTTTAACCTTGGTTTGTCATTACTCATCCTTTAGTTTAGGTTTCATCTTCCTCAGTTACAAACTCATTAGTTGGGCATTCATTATGTCCCTACTTGATATTCCTTTAATATTTTGGATAACTCATTGTCTATCACCATAGGACATTGAAATAATCACCTGTTAACAATTCTAGAGAGGTGGGGATCCTATCTTATTTATCTTTGTACTATCACATAGTACAAAATCTGTGCTTAGTCTTTGTTAAATTGTCTAATAAAAAAAGGTCTACATAAGATTATTTTATGCTTTGCTCAAATTATAGTTTCAGGTCAGATTTTCTCTCTGTTAGGAAAAAAAATCCCTTTACATAAATAATACGAAAAGACGTGAACTGTGGAACAATCTGAAAATTACAGCAAAAAGAAAAAAATTCAGGTTCTTAGGTAATGTAAGACCATGTTAAATGCATCTGAACACTCTTTGTTCACTAATAGTTTGGCTGCTTATGATGAAGCTGAGAAATTGCTATAGGTACATTTTGATTTTTTCTTCTCTTTTTCCCATATGACATTTGCCATCTTTCTTTGACAGACAGAGTGCAAACTCAGTAGTAAACACAAATATTTTTCTTGTCTGTCATCATTTGAGAATGTTTACTAAAATTTACACATAGAACACTGTGAATAATGATTATTTTAGTGTAAGTTTTCATAATGGGAAAGAAAAGGACATGTTAAGGATTAGTTACAAGATTAACTCTGTAAGTGTGATATTGATTATTTTCAAGTAAGGAATAGAGATGATACATTCAGGACCATTTAACAAAGACAGTGATAATTAGGCTTAAAGGCTGATAATTGGAGAAACAATAAGTTGAGGCATGCATATATTCCTCATTTAAATAACAAGTGAAGGAAAATTAGATCTTTGCACAAAAACAAATCCCCTAAAGATTTTAAATCTCTGTCGTAAGGGTGAGAAAAATGCTATTAAAAGTTAGTCATTTTGTCTTATGGTCTACCTCTGATTTTTGCAAAAAAAATTTTTTTTATTTAAATAGCGCTTTGCTGAATGATGCTATCTTTGTTTTCTTCTAAATTATCTCTTTAAGCTCAGGGGCTATGTCTTATTATTTGTTTCTGTACGGTTGCTAGCACATGGTAGGTACTCAAATTTTTATTGAATTGAGTTAAATTGAATTAAGATGCTGCCCTCTAGAACTCAATCTGGAGAATAGGCCTTCTATGTGTTTCCCTGTAGGAGGAAATTGGAACAAGAAGTCAAAATTGGGTCTTTGTTCCCATCTTCAGAAGTAGAAAAACCAGTCATGAACTAAGAGAAGTGGGACTAAGAGGTCTTTTCTGCTTTGTTTTGTTTTTTTGAGATGGAGTCTTGCTCTGTTGCCCAGGCTGGAGTGCAGTGGTGTGATCTCGGCTCACTGCAACCTCTGCCTTCTGGGTTCAAGTGATTCTGCTGCCTCAGTCTCCTAAGTAGCTGAGATTACAGGCACATGCCACCACACCTGGCTAATTTTTGTATTTTTAGTAGAAACAGGGTTTTACTATGTTGGTCAGGCTGGCCTTGAACTCCTGACCTCATGATCTACCCACCTTGGCGTCCCAACGTGCTGGGATTACAGGTGTGAGCCACCGTGCCCGGCTGAGGGTTTTTTTAAACATGGACATTAGCCCAATATTGGAATGGGCTCCCTAATTACTTATTTTATAATTCCTTTTCATAGTTGAGGACTAGAATCACTATCAGGTTGGAGTTCAAGAACATCTGTAATGTGATTTGACACTTTTAAATTTTAGTATTATATAGAGTTCCTTATTATATGCCAGTTTTTAGAATGGGCATTCTTACTCTTTTCCTTAATAGTTAAATGTCATTATTTTTAAGCTGTCAAGAAAGCATTTTTGGTATCTCTTGAGTTGGTCAAATTAAACAAAATACTTTTGATATACAGTTGACCCTTGAACAACAGGGGTTTGAGCTGCATGAGTCCACTTATTTGTAGATTTTCTTCTACCTCTGCCACCCCTGAGACAGCAAGACCAATATTCCTTCTCATCCTCAGCCTACTCAAAGTGAAGATGATGAGGATGATGACTTTATGATGATCCACTTTCACATAATTAACAGGAAATATATATTCTCTTCTTTATGATTTACTTAACACTTTCTTTTTTCTAGCTTGCTTTATGGTAGGAATACAGTATATAAAACATATAACATAGAAAATGCCTGTTAATTGACTATTTTTTTATTATTAAGGCTTTTGGTCAACAGTAGGCTATTCGTAGTTAAGTCTGAGGGTAGTCAAAGGTTATACATATTTTCAACTGCTCAGAGGCTTGGTCCATCTAACTCCTACATCACTAATAGTTTTAAAACAAACTTTAGTCAATTGTATTTGGCAAGGGTCAACTGTATTTGGCAAATCTTCACAATATGCTTTAAGTTGTTGAGAACATTTATATAGGTCTCAAAGGATAAGAGGTACAAAGAAATGAAACACAAATAAATGACATAAATAGTGCTGTGATGCATTTTCATACGTGAAAAATAGTAATTTTTTGAAATATTCTTTAGTAATATTACCACTAATATAGTATTACTGTTCAGATCATATTTCTGAACTCATTGCAACCTGAAATTTAGTTATTTTATGTTAAAAAGGGCCAAAGCAAAGAACTTTGAGATCTAAGCCGGAAACTCAATACCACTAGAACTGAAAGTGTTTGCTTGAAACACCAGTGTTGGCAATACCTTTAGAATCCAGTGTTTTCTTCCAATACAATCAATACTAGATGGTCTTTCCTCTAAGATAAACATTATATTAATGTGCATATCTTAACACCCGGGGCTTAAAATAGCAAAAGGAGGTAGGAACTGAAAGTACATTGAATCCATGCTGACTTGCATACTTAAGGGATTAGTAAAAATTGAGGTCAGCAAGAGTCCCAAGATACAGAAGAGATCAAGGAAGGAAGCACACCATGGTGGCTATATTCCTTTCCTACTGGCCACAACATGGGTAGCTGGACAGGAAGGTGGCTCTTCTGTTTAGTGCTTTCTGGTTTTCCTCTGTCTGTATGGTTGGCTTGTGGCCGATTCCTACTTTTATTTCATTTTTCGGAGAGGAAAATTCCACTTTAATATTGCTGTGTATGACAGGAAGTAGCGTAGTACCTCACACATAGTAGTACTGATTGAGTGAAAATCAGACTATTGTGTTATTCCAGTAGGATGTCTGGAACATTTACTTCGTTGGACAAATTCAGTCTTGCAATACTTTAATGTGACGATTGAAATCATTGCTGTCAAATTGTACTAATAGAATCTCATTGGATTTCTAAATAGGAGCAGGCTAAACAGGAACCTATTTTTAATCATCTCAGATCCAAGGAAATTTTACTGTAGTGGAAAAAGCTCCAGAGTGAAAGAAATATAAAATTTACCCGTGAGTATTTTTCAAAAAGTATATCCTCACCTACTTCTTCTCACTCCCACCAAGGACATGTCAGTACCTCCAAGCTAGATACTGTAGTTGAGAAAAAGTTGTTCATGCAATTTGTATTTCCTGTTCCCATCCATGTCTCTTCACTTTTTGAGTATGAAAATCAATGGAGAAGTTGAGCTGTAAAATTATGTGATTTTGCTAGCAAAAATTCTACTACCTAATGATGGTTTTCTTCCTAGGAGTTATTGGTTTTATCCATATCTTCTTCATTGGGACTTATTTAGTATGTGGATACATTCTCTCAGGTCATGGACCTTAATTCTAATATATTCTATTAGATAGGTAGCGGATTAAATGAGGATCATTTTCTCTTTCTCCACTTTGTTTTGCTTGGCTAGTATTTGACATCTTGGATCAGAGAACTTTAGATACATAGGCTTTCTTGATCTTTAGAAATAGATTGTCTGCAATCTGGCTGAGTCCTACTATATTGTCAGAAAAAGTAGCTCTGGCATATAGTAAGCACTCAAGCAATGGTTGTTCCAGCAAAGTACCTTTGTAGTTTAATAATATGCATTTTAAGAAAATACTGATAAAAAGTAATTTTACTTTCATTTCGGCTTTTGATATTAAGGGCCAGACTTTTTCTTAGTTATATTTAAATTAATTTTGAAGGAATAAAAACAGGATAAAATAGGCTTAATGGGATAGAAATAATCTTTCTAAAGTGGAGTTATTATTTTTATTCTAATAAATTGTTTGTGATTGTTGATTCTGGTCATTTGAATGAGAAGGTAGCTTTTATTCATCAGTCTGTGGTAGACCAAATTGAGCCCCATATCTGTAAATTCCTAGTTAGATATCTTGTTATTTAAATCCTTGGTATCAACTCAGTATACTATGCACAAAGTAGCCACTTAAATATACTAATCATTAGGGTTTTAAAAATAATTTTTTGATAAAAATAATAGAAGGTTGTTGTAAATAATTGTCAATACAATTCTCAATAGAAGGAAAATAAAAGTTATCCATAATTCTAACTGCAATGAGCATCATGGAAAATTTTGATGTATTGCTTAAAATAATTTAATATTCGCTCCTGCTGATGAAAGGTTTTAGAATCTGGTGAAAATTTTCTTATTTAAGATAAACTATGTTAATAATTTTTAGTCATCTTTTAATCCTTGAAAGTTCTTTACTGCTCTTCATTTGTAACCTCTGTACACTTAGTCTGGAGTTCACTGATATATGGGCTTCATTACTTAAAATACTCTAAATCTACAGTAAGTTTTAGGAAATATGTGTAGTTACTCGATGATATTCACCAACTACTTCCTACAAAAGAGCTTGTGTTTTCTTCCATGGATTATTTAAATAATCCCCTAGCCCGGTTTTGTTGAGACTTTTAGGCAAAGGGGTATGTGCTTGGGTTTCATTGTCTTTTCAAAGTGCTTTAGTATCTTGATCATTCCTACTATCAAAATATTTTATTTCTCTGTCATTTTTGTTGGGAAATCATAGAAAAACATATGCTTTATTTTTAATAGTGTGATTTACCCAAGTTTTTCACTTTTAAAATACTGAAAATATCTGTCCAATCCTTATTGAGTCAACTATGACTTAAATGCTTGATTTTGTTATCGTTGGTGGTGAATAGTTCAGTCTCACTAAGACATGCTAATATTAAAGTCATCTTATCTCTTTTAAAAGTCCCCAGGTACTCGGAGTGGGACACCTAGTAAACCTTATTTTCATCATCTTGCTTGAATTATGTCTCCTATGGGGTTCTGGGAATGAAGCGAGTTGCCTCAAAGTGTCAAAATCAGACTGATTTGGTTGGAGGCCAACTTGGACTAGTCTATATGAGAAGTGAGCATCTTAGGTGAGATTCTTAATGCCCATTAGACTTGTAGCATTGTATGCTGTATTTTATAGTAGTAGCCAGGTGTGGGCAGTGATACAGGGCTTGGGGGATCTCCCTTACCGGCCCAGGGATCCAAGGCATTCAGTGCAAAACCTGGCCAGCAGCCCGAGTGAGTAGGAGCCATGTGACTCTGGTGAGTTGGAGTGTGCAATTGCCTCCTGCTTCAGAGCTACCTGATCCGAATACTAAGCAGAGCGAGTGCCGGGCTCAGTGTAAGACACTGAAGACACTGCAGAGCAAAGTGCTTATTCCAGAGGCGTTACAAAACATGGAGATTAAAGACCAGGGAGCCCAAATGGAGCCGCTGCTGCCTACGGTAAGAGACAACCTGCTATCACATAAATTAACCGCGTTTGCTGCAAAACCTGTTAGGCAAGTGGTCTGCTAGCTAGGTGCAGCGAGTGTACTTTTGGGGTGGTGGATAGCTCCCACGACATATGGACAGGGGTCTCCTCCCATCTTGAGAGACTGAAATGCATAAAGCAAAGCACACGATCCCCCCCCTTTCTCAATATGGATGCACTACGGTGATGAAATGTTTCATGTTTGCTGCTGTATGAAGAAATGGCTAGGTTATTAGCAGCAGGGGCAGTTACGTGTCTCTCTGCCTGCCTGTCACCGCTTATCTCTCTATTTCTCAGGTTGTGTGGTGGTTTAAGCCCTTACAACGAAGCCCCCTTTTATCATGTTTAATCCCTGTTGAATTTCCTCCCCCTGCCTCATCGCCAGGCAGTGAGGTGAGGGAATCTGCTGCTGTTGCAGCTCTAGAGATTTAGTCTCCACAGAAACCCGGCGAAAGAACAGAAGGATCGTGTGTGTGTGTGTGTGTGTGTGTGTGTGTGTGTGTGTGTGTGTGTGTTAGTCTCTCTTTCTCGAAGGGAAATATGTCATGGTTTTTGTACAAAGAAGGTATGCATTTTTGGGGGACAGGCACACAAGTCAGATTTGAATATCAGAAAGGTTTCTGAACTGTCATTTGGTAATAGCCCATCTGTTTATCTCTGGGTTCTTAAGCTGTTTCCCTAAATTTAGTTTTTGTATAAGTGATTGATTTGCCTATCCTTTCCACAATCTCTCTGTCTGGCTCGCAGACTTTGGAGATCTTCAGACAACATCTTTTTCAGTCTGGAGCGGCTGCTGTTGCTGTGTTTAACGAAAAAGGGAAAAAAAAAAGAACACAGTATTTTCTTGATGCAACAGAGATGACAGTCGTAGCTTCCAGCCATCTATCAATGCTATTTCAGCAGAAATCCCCTCCCGGCACCAAACCAGACAGCGGGCTGTTTCTCAGCTCCCTGTTACTAAGGTTGGTGACCCACCTGCACGGAAGGGACTGGCGGTGAGCTGTCCATTTCCGAGTCCATTCCTAGGCTTTCAACAAAATGCTTCCGTAGGAGGAGTGGGCATATTCTGGGCCACTGTATTTTCAGGGCCTTACCTCTCCTGCCGGGCTCAAATGCTGCAAAAAGATTCCAGTTTGCATCCCCGGAATCAGCTTTGGCGACTGAGCATGCCCAGTTCTCCTAAGGACGCCAGGTTTGGGCAGGGAGGGAGCAGAGTGATGGGAAGAATGGAAGGAGTTACCACCAAGAATAGAACCTCAATAGAGGGCAGGGGCAGTGTGGGGGTAGGGGGCTGGGAGAAAGGGAACTGGAGAAGGAAGTATGTCAATTACCCTGCCTGCCTAAAAATACAGATGTTTCCTTGTGGTATCAAAGTGGAGTAATAAAAAAGTAAGTGTAAAAGATTTGCCCATCTTCCCAAACTTGAACAAATACATAAATTAGGATTCTGTTAGTACTCAGAATAATGTTAACTATACCAGGCAACTCTTGTTCTCTGGATGAGAGAAAGGAACTATGCACAGGAATCGTGGTATGGGGATTTGGAGAAGGTTAGATATAGGGAACCCCCCCCACCCTTTTTTTTTTGGCTGGCAGTGGGGGTGGGGTGTTGGAACCTGTCCTAGAAAAGAAGGCTGAAGCCAGTTTGATGTGGCTTATGGATCGTCACTTGTGGGGAACAGTTAAAGGGCTTAGGACCAAATGTGGATTAACTAGAGGAATTTAAAAGAGGATGACATTACTGGGCTAGATGGACAACTAATTTATAGCTTCAAAGAGCAGAGAAAATACAAGTCTTTCCAGAAAAGTAGGTCTACAATACATCTGATGGAAATTTTTGAAGGCCAGAGTCAAAAGTTTGCATGTCGTGAGCTTAATGGCCAGTAGAAAATAGTGACAGTTTAATGGTAAGAGAGAATCATATTAGCAGATCGTTAATAAGAAAAACAAGCCTGAGGGGCTAGAGAGGATGCTGAATTACTGGTTCAGTTTTATACTTGTATAGCAACTCCCCCAGTTGCTTTTATGATCTTTTCTTTGTTTAGTTTTCAAAACAAACATGTTAATGCAGATTTGATCATTTTAATTTTCAAGGTGAGAAATTGAGGCACAGGGAGTTTGAATAACATGTCTAAGATCACCCAGTGATGAAACCAGGACTGAAATATAGGTCATCTAAAACTAGTTCAGAAATTTTTTTAAAAATTCAATATTTTTTACATTACATTCTTAACCAGGCTTAACATGATCAGTTCCTGGACTGAAGTTTTCATACTTGGGCTGTGTTTTAGAAAATTAATCAAATGACTTTGCAGATAATTATGTGAGAGGCAAAATGGTATAATATTTAGAAGGCAGTCAAGGCCCAACACTGCTATTTGTTTGTTATATGATATTGGGAAGGTTATAAGTTATAGTTCCTTCAACTGAAAAATGAAAAGGTAATTTTACTATATATCTCCTGAGTTTTGGGGTAAGTTAAATGACTTATATAAAGTTCCTGGCATTGAGTAAGTGTTCAGTAAAACTTATTTGCTATTGTCATTGTTACTGCTGCTATAAAATGAATATATCATTGCTATATTCATCTCAATATAGATACTGAGATAATGTAAAGGTTTCAGTTTTTATGAAAAGTGGCTTGTCAGTCCTGTCTATCAAGAAGGAACAGTAGAATGGAGCACTGGAAAGAGTCTTCATAGTGGAGGTGGGAGATGGAGTTTTTTAGTTATAATTATAAAAACTTTGCAATATTCTTGGAAAGGCAATTGGACAGGCATTAAAAGCCAAAAGTAGATATGGGACAGAAGTAGTCAGAGGTAGATAGATAGAGAAATGAGGGAGAAAGAAAAATAATAAGAATGGGTAAGTATGTCAAATGAGTGAATATATTAATCCTGACTCAAGTGAAATGGAGGAACAGATTCTCAGTAAGCCTCCCAGGGTTTACCTCCATTTAGTATAGTATATATAAAGTACATTTGAAGGATATGGGCGGAGGAGGCCTAGATATATTTCTCTTTTTTCCCAGTCCTTCTTAGGAAGCTTCAGTGATAATTTCCTTTTGCTGGACAAGCCATCATTGCATTTCGTACACTCTAATCACTCTAAGGGTCAGGGCATTCACTCTTGTTGGCTCAGTGTACAGTTTGGTTTTCTAGCTACTGGCTGTTATGTCTGAAAATATAGAAAAAGTGTGTCATAAAGATGCATTCTCTTAAGTGCCTACTGTTGGCCAAACACATTCTTGGTGCTTGAGATACAGCAATAAATAAGGCAGGCAAACACTCTATATATGTGAAACCTCACACTCTAGCTAGACTACAAATAGGACTTGATTTAACTTTTTAAGAGACTGCTGCTTTCTCCTCAAATACTTAATCATCATTATAATCTTTTTGAGATGGATGTATATGGAGAATATATGTAACAGTAATAATGGTGATATTTTAGTAAGATGGAATTAACCTTTTAAAAGTATGAAGCCCAATATTTAGGATTGCATTATGATTTCACATTTTCTTTGATATTCAATGTCGAATTTGCTTTTAGGAATAACCTAGCCATTTAAAAATTATCAGGCCATGGAAGAACCTTCCAGGAGAATATATAACAAATATTTATATCTCATGACATTTAATCTTGGGTGATCTACAGTGAGTCCTCTTTGGATCCGTTCTAAGATTCTGAGCTTACTCATAAAATTTCCCTACTGTATGAAACTATAGTAAAGTTCACTTTTAAAAAGTAATTTGATAATATAGGATAGATGATTAGATTTAGTACTTTTAGAAAATGCTAATTCCATATTTCAAATGGCTCAGTTTGTTGA